CGCCACTTCCAAGCAGCTTCTTGGCAGAGATTGGGAGTGCTTGTGGGGGAAAGATCCCTCGGGAGCTGCCCCGTTGCTTCCTGCACCCCGATGCAGGGCGCTGGGTGAGCTGAACACCTGGCTGTAGCAGACGGGGCTGTTCTGGGCTCGTGTGATCCTTTGCAGCCATGGTCTGGATGGAGTGAGGGAGCCCGGTGTGGGGAGCAGGGCTTTTCTTCTCTCTGTTAGTCGTCCGCTGGCCTTGAAGCGAGTGTCCCGGCCTGTAAATGGGGCAGTGGGACGTGGCACCGACAGCCAGGGTGTTAGGCCAAAGCAGTGAAGGGACGGCTGTTGGTGTCGGTTGCTGTGAGGAGCTCACCCGGAGCCTCTGCAGGCCTTGTGTTCAGTGTTATTTGGCACGTGGAAATGCGGAGGAAGGTGTTTTGTCCCATTTGAAAATGGTTATGGCTCTGTGTGCCGGCGTTTGTCAGAGACACCTGGGAGCGGAGCGTGTGGCTCGCTTGCCGCGCAAGGCTGGAATTGCTCCCCGTGCCTTCACTTCTCCGTCCGCGCTGTGCTTCCAGGGTCCCTTCTCTCTGCTCGAGCATGAAGAGCACCCGCAGCAGCTCCTCCTTCCAGGGCGCCGGTTCTGCCAGCGTAGATCTCAGCCTGACCGGCCTCCCGGTGCCGGTCTCGCGACGCCCCAGCAGCGCTTCTCCCGCCAAGCACATGGCGCGCTCCATCTCGGTCACCACTGATGGCAAACCGAAGAGGAACACTCTGGTGAGTCCTTGTCGGGAGAAATCCTTCATCCCTGCATCCCTCCTGCTGCTCGGGGCGGGGAGGCGTGTGTGCATGGGCTGCAGGATGCCTCCGTGCACACCCGCTCTGCCAGCAGCGCTGATCCTGCGGGCCGAGCTTTGAAGCGCAGCCTGGGGTGGGAGGTGGCACCGGGGAGGGCCCTGGCTCCCCCCAGGAGCGCATGGCAGCGCGGCACGGCTGCGTGTTTGGGGAGAGCAGCCACACCGCCGTGGGGAGGGGAGGATTGGGCTGGTCCGGGTGCTGCTTGGAACTGTGGCTCTGGGTGCTGCAGCGCTGCGCGCTCTCTCCAAATCTGATCGTCCTCGACGATCGGCTGCTCGTCAGGTCTCTTCTTGACCCTTTAATGCACAAAGAAAGGCAAGCAGGAAAGCGTCAGGCTTCACCCTTTTCCCTTCCTTGGCCTTCACCTCCCTGTGCCGGTTTCCTTCTGGAAACTCCCCAGTTCCTGGTACCTTGTGCCGGATGCTGCGGCGCTTTCAGGCCCAGCCTGTGCCTTGCCGAGCACCCTCTGTTCCTGCTGGGCTCAGCAAGGCTGGGGACTCAGTCTCTCGCTGCATGGGGGTTTCTACGAGGGTTTTTTCAGCAGAGTGAATGAGCCCCAGGTACTTACCGGGCTCTGTTGAGATCCAGGTGTGGAGAGTCTCTGCGCTCCTTGCTGAGTAATCCCTACTGCCTTGGCAGTCTTCCTCTATGCTTGTTCCCAGGGCAGGTAACGAGCTCAGCCCTTCTGGGCTGGGGAGCTCGCCCAAACGAACGCGTTCCTGCTGGCTCAGCAGCAGTGCAGGAGCCCGAGGGGGAGCCCGGTGTCATTGCGCTCTGCCTCGACGGGAGGTTGGCAGCCGCGGGGATGTCGGAAACATCGCGTCGGGGCTGTGTGGAAGGGGGTGGAAGGGCAGCACCGCCAGAAGTGCTGTTTTAGGATGCCTGACTCGAGGGGGGAGCCTGCCTCGGCCAGGCGTCCCAGCTCCTCCTGCCCGTGCTTCTCCTTAACATCGCTGCTGAATTTAGCACCCTCCTCCGCAGGAAGATGCGGGATCCCGGGCAATGAACAACCTCCGGAGGTCCAACAGCACCACCCAGGTTAACCAGCGGGTGAACAGCACGCGCAGGTATGGCTCCAGCCACCAACGTACGTCCGTCTGTCCCGTGGATGGGACCGTGTGAAACCCCACCCATCTGTCTGACCTCTCTTGTCCTGTGAGGGAACCAGAGCCTTTAAAAAATGTACTTTAAGCTCTGTCATACACACAGGGGGCTACAACCTGGCCTTGGAAAGCCAAGGTCTGGTTTTTGTTTGGGTTTTTTTTTTTTTTGAGGGGAGGTCACTTGATCAGGATTTGGGGAAATAGAGCGTATTTCTGTGTCTGGGAAGCCTCTGTCACAAAAGACACTCAATTTAATTCCAAGGGACAGGACTGTTCAATTACAACAGCCCCTCACGGACCCTCCAGACCGTAGCTGGACTGTGTTAGCAGGCGAAAAGTTCTCCTTCTGTCTCCAGTGACCTCCTAGCGCCATCTCTGAACCGTGATTTTTCCATTCTCTTGCTGCCCTGTGCCCACCCCTTTAATATATTCTGTCTCCACACGTCGTGCTGGAATCTAGAGCTCTGTATAAAAACAAATTGTTCATAGATTTCGTGACTCTGTAATGATTCTCCGTCCCTTTTCTCCTCTGTGTCGTGATGCAGGCGGTAGGTGAGCCTCGGCTCTATGCTGTGCATGTTGTCAGCGCGCCCTGCCGCGATCAGAGCGTGCTTCTCACTGAAGCTGCGCAGGATGAGAGCTGTGCTATCGCTGTCTTGTTGCCGTTTGTCTGCATGCAATATTAACTCCAGAACACGTGTTCTCTCCTCCTCCCTGCCTTCCCTGGGTTCGGGCTAAAGCTCAGAGCAGATGGGAGACTTCCTGACCTTTGAGAGTGGTTGTGGGGGAAGAAAGAAACTGGCGAGTCTGAGCAAAACCTCCCCGGAAAAGAAAACCACATGGAACATCTTGGTGAGGATGGGGACATCCTGGGGTGGGTGGGCTAAGTCAGCTCTGCTTGCTGGAGGAGTTGGCTGGGTTTGCTGGAGGAGCGGGAGGGTTTCCCTAGACCCGAGGATGGGGTGGTACAGCTTGCCTGGTCCTTTCTCAGCCTGCAGTCAAAACTGGCGCATTTTGGGTGGCCAACGTGGTCGGCCAGTCCTCTGGCCTGCATTGGCCTTGTCTCTGGCCTGGGGCTTTTGGCCCCTCGCCTCTGCATTCCTGGCTTCTTCTGGTGGAGGCAGGCAGAGGCACAGGCAAAGCCTCGAGGCTGCCGTGCTGTGGAACGGAGGTTTCTCATGTGTGGGAGAAACTGGCTTGTGAAGGAAGAGGGTGGTGTTTGAGGATATGGGTTTGGCGCTTGCCTGCGCTTATACCTGCTGACTCCGTGGCAGGACGATCAGCCGCGAGTGTTCCCGGGCCACTCCATCTCCTGTGGCGTGGAGCCACCAGCAGGCATGAGGAGGAAAGAAGCCACCGTGCTCCTGGCAGCCAACTTCACTGCCAACAACAGGTAGGAGGGGCGGCGGCGCTGAACCCGTAGGCCTGGTGTTGGGGGGAACTACACCGAGAAAACACCCAGGCAGAGGACGGGGTGCCGGTGCTCCGCCTCTGCCGGGGCATGGGGGTCAAGTGCGGGGCAGAGCGATGGCGGCGTGCCAGGCTGGCCGGCCAGGACACCTTCGGAAGCCGCGCAGGAGCTCGACTGATGCGTGGGAGAGGCTGCTCTCCCTCTAGGAAAGGGAACGAGTAAAACTTGGAACCCTTCGGAGCCAGGAGAGACTTAAAGCAAGGCTGCGTGTAGAGTAGGCTGAGCAGCAGGCTGTTAGGTCTGCTTGGGCTGTGTCTGTCTGTCTGTCTGTGCGTCGGGTAACAGCTACCGGGGAGCGAGCTCTAGAGAGCGGGTGAGTCGCTTGTGAGGCCTCCCCTGCTCCTCGCCTCGGGGAACGCTCCAGACGGTGAGGGTCGGGTTGAGGGTTGCCAGGCAGGGAGCTGTCCCCTTCGGATCCAGCAAGTCACAGAATCATCGAATCGTTGAGGTTGGAAAAGCCCTCTAAGATCATCCAGTCCAACCATTAACCTCACACTACCAAGTCCACCACTAAACCAGTTAAGGGGAGAGGAATAACTTCATGTGTCCTGGCTTGGTGGCTGGATTATTTTTTAATGAAAGTAAGACCTAGGAATCACTAAGGTTGGAAAGGACCCCCAGGAACATCAGTCCAACCATCAACCCAACACCCCCATGCCCACTAAACCATGTCCCCAAGTGCCACCTCTGCCCATTTTTTTAACCCTTCCAGGGATGGGGACTCCCCCACCTCTCTGGGCAGCCTGTTCCAATGCTTGACCACT